CTGACATCATTATGTATGTTGATGTCAACTTTCAATTATCCTGATAATGGATGGTCAAAGAACATGCAGCACTGAGAGAGAGAGAGAGAGAGAGACTATAAGCAGAACTAAGCAGTTTGTACAGGAAATGGAAGGGTGTCAAATCAGAGAAAAAGAGAGGGGGAGTATGTGTTTGTTAGAGAGAGCATTATGTATGTTGATGTCAACTTTCAATTATCCTGATAATGGATGGTCAAAGAACATGCAGCACTGAGAGAGAGAGAGAGAGAGAGAGAGAGGGACTATAAGCAGAACTAAGCAGTTTGTACAGGAAATGGAGGGGTATCAAATCAGAGAAAAAGAGAGGGGGAGTATGTGTTTGTTAGAGAGAGAGTTTAAAGAACAGAAAGAGAGAGAGGAACGACGCTTGAGGACAAAATTTTCCAGCTGGACTCTCCTGTTAAATGAGCCGATGGTGTGTGTGTGTGTGTGTGTGTGTGTGATTCTGAGTCTTATTAAGCTACGCTAGCTTGGAGAAAGTTAGAGTATGATACATACACCAAAATGGTTGTTCAGCACCACTATTTTTTAATCTTTATTAAAAAATATGTCAATACATTTAGCACTGAGAGGAACAGTTGTAGAATAGACATCAGAATATACAAACATGCCCTTCTTGCGTTGCTGAATTGTCCAATCTGTATGCATGAAATGCAAAAACATACTGGACTTTGAAGCTTTTAATCATAAAAAAATAGTAAAGCATGATAAGAGTCTAAGTTTTGTGAACCCATCTGATAGCTTTTATTAGAGAAGTCACAAATGAAGTGAATGTCAGATATTTTGAATGAAACTGGTTGATCTACTTCACAAAGTCTCAATCATTCCCTCATAAATCAGACTGAGCAGTGATCTGGTTGCAGCAGTTAACAGTTTTGCGTCAACTGTTCCTTTAATACTGGATTCTGGCAGAGGAAGTGTGTGTGTGTGTGTGTGTGTTAATGCCATGGTCAGGCCAAGTCATTATAAGTACATGTGACAATCGTGTAGCACCAGTCTGAACACTGAACAAGTAGGTCAAGATTAATACGACACAGAACAGAAAAAGAGATCAGGTTGGATTTTGCAGGTGCACTGCATATGGAGGAATAGAATAGAATATAGTATAAGAATTGTAGGTTTTCTGTTCAAATTCATTGTTGTTTATAGAGGAATGGAGAAAAGTCGAACTTTTCCTGCTCTTACGTTGTGTTTGTGTTTGCTTGTTAGTTTGAGGGCACAAGCTGTATGTTGCAACTTAGCCTGGTTACTGATGTTTGTGTGTTGCACCATTAAACTTACATTTATTGCCGGCAATTAACCAGCCGTCGTTGCACCAAAATTTGTATCAGATGCCAAAATCATGGCCAGAATTGTACAGCGTGAATCTGGCAAATATACAGTAATTATCCTCCTATAAGAAGTTGGAATAAAATTATTAATATAATAAGAGTTATATTAATAGATTATAACATAATAATTATATTTGTTATATACATAAATATATATAAATATACTATTACTATTTATTATGTATTGTATTTCCTGTTCTTCAGTTGGAAATGTAATTTTGTTGCCACTGACTGTCACATGAGGCAACAGAAATTTGAAACATCAACTTCAAGAAGATGTTTGTTGGATTAATGAATGAACAAATGATGCAAGAAAAATAAGTACACAATGACTGTAGTTACAGTAACTTCTAGTTATTATGCCCCTTGTGTGAACATCACATCCTAATTTAAGTAACCTTACTGAGAACTTCAACCTGTAATGCTCATAGTCACAGTGAAAGGTGAGCAGTGGTAATTGGAGTCTCTCATCCTTGGACCTGCGATCCTTTAAGGACGCTTTTTTTTTTTTGCTCGCTCACTCTCGTTTCCTCTTGTTGCTTGCTCTCTTTCTTTGCCCTGGCTGCTAACACTATAGGTAAAATGAATCATATATGGCTGTGTGTGTGTGTGTGTGTGTGTAGGGGTTTCTGCTTTCTGGTGTCTATTTTACAGAGCTTATGTGTGTGTTTGTTATTGATCGCTGAAAGCGCAACATAAATCATATCTTGATCAGTCTGTTTGAGGTACAGCAGAACTTGTTCAGTGGTCAGATTGATGTTGTACATATGGGAAAAGCCTGTGTTCTTATGTGTGTGGAGCGAAGGCGAACATTCACCACAATCCCACTAAAATACTTTATAATGCATGACATCTTTGTAATATCACGGGTCCCATTCATTTTCCCGTGAGGGTTAAATTGAATTCAGCGGCTGCGAGTGTGTACACGAGAGTGTGTGTTACACTGGTCCGGCATAAAGCATGCCTGTGTGACAGAAGCTGCTAAACTTGTCTCATTATCCCATAAATATTCCCCGCCCTGCTCACGGTCACCTAGCTTCCCATCCATCAATCAAAGCCTGCTGCCATTGCTGTGCCGCCACCATATCCACGGCAGCCTTCTGAGGGAGCAGCACTTAGGCCCTGATACAGAGTCCATTACACGCTCCAACCAGATCCTGGCTGATTATAAAACTCTTTCAGCTTACAGGAGACAGTGTGTTCTAATGGATCATGGTCTTCTCTTTTACCTTCAAGTTAATAAAACTGATATATAATATAGCAAATCTCATTTCAGGATAAATGTATGAGTTATGTGGAAAATGAATTGATGTCAGTGGGTGAAGTTCTGTGTGGATGCTTAGTTGGCTGTAAAGTTTGTGACAGACTTCTGCTGGATTTTGCTGGTTCATGTACCTCTGTGTTTATTAAAGATTATTATTTTTATTTAACAACCACTGCCATTATTGATTTTCTGTTGGCAATAAAAGTGCAGAACAAGTTTGTAATTTTTATTTCTACTTTTTGACACAGCAAGTAGTACATAAACATTACGAAGGTAAAAACATCATATGTTATTATTATATTTCATGTATATACAATATATCATATTTATATTATTATTAATAATGAGAATGTTTACATTATTGCATGTATATAACTTTACCTTTATGCAATTGTTTTGCAATCTTTAGTTTATTATTGTTGTTGTTGTAGTCGACATTACCATTCAAAAGTTTGGGGATGATAAGATTTTTTATGTTTTTGAAAGAAGTCTTTTATGTTCACTAAGGCGGTATTGTTTTTGATAAAAAATACAGTAAAAACAGTAAAATTGTGAAATAATATTTATTAAAGTATTTATTTATACAACAGTTCTTTCTGGTCCTTGAATCTGATTGGCTGAGAGGAGTGCGATAAGGGTCAATTTTTCGAAATTGAGATTTATACATCATCTGAAAGCTGAATATTAAATTAGCTTTCCATTGATGTATGGTTTGTTAGGACAGGACAATATTTGGCTGAGATACAACTATTTGAAAATCTGGAATCTGAGGGTGCAAAAAAATCTAAATATTGAGAAAATCGCCTTTAATGTTGTCCAAATGAAGTCCTTAGCAATGCATATTACTAATCAAATATTAAGTTTTGATATATTTACAGTAGGAAATTTACAAAATATCTTCATGGAACATGATTTTTACTTAATATCCTAATGATTTTTGGCATAAAAGAAAAATCAATCATTTTGACCCATACAATGTATTTTTGGCTATTGCTACAAATATACCCCAGCGACTTAAGACTGCTTTTGTGCTCCAGGATCACATATGTCTTTACAGTCACTTTTGATCAATGTAATGTGTCCTTGATTAGTGAAAGTATTAATTTCTTTCAAAAAAAAAAAAAAAAACCTTACTAACCCCAACCTTTTGAACACTAGTGTGTATTATTATTATTATTATTATTATTATTAATGCAATTATGATTTCCTGTTAAATTTGCAGTGTTTAATGCTATTATTGGGTACTTTTCTTTATAGACCATTATGGGAGAACATAGTATAAAAGAAGAGAATAGCTGGAAAAAGTATAAATCAAGCTGGTTATCAGTTTATCTCTACTGTTTATATGTGATTTTATTGTAGAAGTGAAGGATGCCTAGCTTCAAGGCCGTCATTGAGGAGGGACAATTGGGAATGTTGTCCCGGACCCTGTGACGAGGGGGGGCCCCTAAGGGTCTCTAGCTCATACCACTACTCATTGCACCTGGACGAGTGTATGCCCTCCCATAAAAACCTTGTCCTGGGTCGGGTGTATTTTAGCTACAGCCCTGCCTGGCATTGCTGGGAGTGTCTGTTTTAAACTAGGCCACATATTCTCTCTCCTCTCGCAATGCAACCTACTAAACCAGTCAAGCATAGAGACCCAATAAAACTTCTTCACTCTTGTCTTTCCCTCCTCGCTCCTCTCATCTTTTCTCTTCTCTCAGCATACCCTTGTTAATTGTATTGATTCTAATCTCCGCAGACACTGTCCGCGAGTGACCTTACTCTAGTGGATTACATCAGAATTACAGCTCCACTCCACATCAAGTGGACGCATCCGCTGGGCTTACCTCATATGAAAGGCCGCTGATCGGCTTGCAGTAATTGAATGTGCCCCAGGGGTGCTCTGAACCACCCTATAAAGGGCCCGATGCAGGAAATCAGCACACCCTAGTGCAGCGTATAGGGTTGCTATGCAACATTTAGCCTTTATCAAAGACTGCCACCAAAACAAATGATCAACATCACTGCAACATCTGCTGGGCCGTTTACAACACATTTGACAAATAAAATCATGCACAAATGTGACTAACACATGTTTATGGACAAATGTGGGTCGGTTTGTAATTAACGCTCTTATGAGAAAAGGTGTTAGTATAATGGAGGAGCAAAGGTTTAAAACCTGAGCATTAATGTACACAATACTGCTACCTACAGGAAACACTGGGGTGTTACAACTAAGGTCATCACATTCACATATTTCACTGTGGGTTTTTATATTAGCGCATATGTTATAGTAGCAAAGGCTGCTGTTTACTTCTGACACGTATGTCTTTACTTATGAATGAATGAAAACTCAGTTTCTCTTTTCTTCCTCTCTGTAGATCAGTATATTTATGACTCATCTTTCCAACTACGGGAACGACCGCTTGGGATTGTATACGTTCACTAATCTGGCTAACTTCCTGAAATGCTGGACCAACCTGAGGCTGCACACCCTTCCTCCCCTGCAGCTCGCGCACAAGTACTTCACACTCTTCTCAGAGCAGAGAAACCCGCTATGGCAGGTCAGTTATGATAAAAAGATAGAAATTTATCTTACTAAAATTTTAATTTACTTTAATGTTTAATCAGATTAGCACTGAATGATTTTTCCTAGTTTGACGAGAGAACTTATTATAAAAAATTTGTAATAATACACTACTTATCAGTGATTTTTTTTTTGTTGAATAAATTAATACTCTTATTCAGCAAAGGTGTGTTAAACTGGTTAAAAGTGACAGTAAAAACGTTATTTTTAAAATATATATATATATTATTTTTTTATTTTATTTTATTTTTTTCAAATAAATGTAAACTTTCTATTCATCAAAGAATCCTATCATGGTTTACACAAAAACTTTAGCTAGCACAGCTGTTTTCAACATTTATAATAATGTTTTGTTATAATAATAATAATAATAATAATAATAAGAGTTTTCTTAGCACCAAATCAGCATATTAGAATGATTTCTAAAGGATCATGTGACACTGAAGACTGGAGTGATGATGCTGAAAATTCAGCTTTGCCATTAATAAATCAATTTTTAAAATCAACTTACAATAAATTACTAAAACTGACACTTCTTTCAAAAACATTTTAAAAATCTTATGAATCCCATTTGTTTTGTTTGTTTGTTTTTAGTTTTGTTCTGTTTTTGTTTTGTTTTGTTTTGTTTTGTTGATCACAGGTAAAAGCAATCCTGTGCAAACTGACATGTTGGGAAAAAGCCTGCTCTCTGCAACCTGTAGGCCGTGTAACAATCATTGTACATCAAGCACTCCATGTATCTCAAGTGGATGTTGACCAATGAAAAGCCACCAGAAAATGAAAAGATGCACTTTAAAACTGGGACAACACTTGGATTTAGGGGGGTTTTGCACAATTTGTAGCATATTTTTGTTTGGTTGCTCCAATTATGTTTTATTTTGAAAAGATGCTGCACGTAGGTGTTACAGCTTAGCCTAGTACAGTTTAACAGTTATTGAACTAAAAAAAAAAAGATTTCTGATGAATTTCATATTGTTCTGTTTTCGACATAAATTGCTCATCATGTGCAAATTGATGACACATGTAGACGTCTGCAGTAACAATTACAGACATACTGTCCGTCCTGAAAACAGATCCTATCCGAATAGTGCTCTAGAATATCTATTAATATCTGTCATATGAAATCTGAAGATGATCTCAAGGATTATCCATATACTGTAGGCATCGAGCTGCAGACCCTGTCTAGTCTTCTGCCTCCATGCTTCATTTATTGATTTGATAGAACTTTTTGCTTGATCTCATTTATGATGTTGTTCTTCAGAACCCATGTGATGATAAACGGCATAAGGACATCTGGTCCAAAGAGAAGACCTGCGACAGGCTGCCCAAGTTCATGGTGGTCGGGCCTCAGAAAACAGGTAATTCTCTTCTTCTGTTGCGAGAGCATGTTTCTTCCGTCTTTCCTTTTGCAGAGCTTCAAAGTCGTGCATGTGTGCGTGCGAATCTCCGCTGTTCCCCTTCATCCTGCTTCATATCTCACCTTGTGCTGCTAGAAATGATGAAAGTGCAACTAGGGGCATCAGCTCTAGAGGAGAACAATACAGACACATCCCCAGAGGGCTAGGGGGGTAGAACAAGGGAAAAGACAGAGTGCTGTTTTGGGGCTGTAAGATTTTGATTGGTGTCAAGACACTGTCTTGTTAAACACTTCTCCTCTCTGCACTCATCTTCTTCTTTCCTGCTGTATCACAAACTCGCAACACACACACAGAAAAAAAATCTATAAGGTAAATGGTGTATTGATCCCATGTCTCTTAGTTTCTCTGTCTGTGGGCTGAATCTCCAGGCCTCATATTTCTCTTCAGCGCTATCAGCAGCACATATAATTTCATCATTAGCAGGGGAAGGGCTCGTTGATTTACTTCCCCTCCTTCTTTCTTTCTCTCCTGCCCTCCTCTCTCTCTTCTCTCTTCTCTCTTCATCTCTTTCTCTCTCTCTTGCCAGGCACGACGGCGCTCTACCTCTTCCTGATCATGCATCCCTTCATCTCCAGCAACTTTCCCAGTGTGAAAACATTCGAGGAAGTTCAGTTTTTCAACACCAACAACTACCACAAAGGCATCGACTGGTGGGTGTGAAGTGTGCACCAGACACGTTGTTTCACTTTGTTAAAGGTCTTTTTGGAGAAATACACAATTGTTATGATGTCACATGAGTGGTTAAGGCATTAAGTAGGTCATGCACAAATAATTAAACATGATCTTCCACTGTTTTGGAAAATATTCTATGTCATGTATTGATCTGGAGAACAGTAGAATATTGTTTCTTTTCCAAGCCAAAATTTGGTCACATTTTATTTTAAGGTCCAGTTCTCACTATTAACTATTAGCTATGACTTTTGCCTCAGTAAACTCCTAATTTGCTGCTTATTAATAGTTAGTAAGGTAGTTGTTAAGTTTAGGTATGGGGTCGGATTAAGGGATCTAGAATACGGTCATGCAGAATAAAGCATTAATATGTGCTTTGTAAGAACTAATGAACAGCCAATAATATATGCATATAATATGCAAGTAATATGCATGCTTATAAGCAACTAGTTAATCGTAAAAATTGGTCCTTGAAATAGTGTTACCCAAAATGTTAATATAAATAATATTATTTCAAATAGAATTGTTTAAAAAATCATTTAAATATCTATTTCTGATATCTATTCTTACTTAAATTCATAAGTTCTCATTACACAGTCATTTGTGGGAGCAATTATACTCACTGAAAAATTCAAGTGCTTAAATATGTTTGTGGCATATTTGAAAATTTCATTTCTTCATCTGCTACTGTCCATTTTAGGGTTTTGTAGGTCAGTGGATTAATGCATGGATCAACAGCTGAATGACAAGTATGCATAAGTCTTGTGGCAAATGGCTAATTAGGCCTACAATGGGTTTATCAAATATTAAAATTGAGTTGTTTTTGTGGGCCAAATTAAAGTCATATAGTGCTTTTTTACTTTGAAATATATATATATATATATAAAAAAAACTTTTTGGAAATAATATGTAAGATGTGTACACTGACATGTACAAAGTCTCCATGACGTATTGATTCATGGCTACATTTGATTAATTTGTCCCCCCATTTTAGGTAAAATCGTGGCTACATTGTACTAATTTGTTCCCTTGAGGAACAAATTAGTGCAACATGGCCATGATTTATGTAAAACTAAGGAACAAATTCTTAATTTGTGGCTCTGTACACAAGGCGTAATATACTTGATGGTTAAACAAGATTTTTCCTTTTTCTTCATCTTGGACAGTCTTATTTGTCATTGACCTAGATATATTCCTGCCGCAAGCACTTTTCATAAAGTGGTGGGGACAAAATCTTACAAATGGCAAAATGTCCCACTGTAAATGGCACCTACTGTAGATGTGTGTGTGTGTGCATTTTCTCTAACTCAATACACCTCTCTTCTCAAAGGTACATGGAGTTCTTTCCTGTACCCTCTAATGTCAGCACAGATTTCCTGTTTGAGAAGAGCGCAAATTACTTTCCTTCTGAGGAGACGCCCAAACGAGCCGCCGCTCTCTTGCCTAAAGCCAAAATCCTTACTCTGCTGATCAACCCTTCAGACAGGGCATACAGCTGGTACCAGGTATGACACTGAACAATCACAAAGCAAAGACTAGTAGAACTTCCCAGTCAGAGTTGTGTGGATGGGTGAAAGATACTGCTGTACAGCACAACAGTCAATGCCACTGCCCATGCTTACATGCACAAGAGTTTTCCAGTATTAATTAGGATCACATTTTTTTCTTCTTTTTTCAGCTAGGACACAATAAATTCATCAAGTGTGATTAAAATATCAAAAGTGACAGAAAAAAAAAATATTTCAAATAAATGCTGTTCTTTCGAACTTTCTATTGATCAAAGAATCCTGACAAAAAAAAACGTATCACTGTTTCCACAAAAATATGAAGCAGCACAACCGTTTTTAGCACTGATAATATTAAGAAATTTTACTTGAGCACCATATCAGCATATAAGTATGGTTCACAGAAATAATCAATTAAATTGTAAAATATATTAAAATAGAGTAGTCATTTATATCTGTGCATATCCAAACGAAGATCATTCTGATTGCTTTGCAAAGCTGCTACATATCAGCTGAGAAAAGTCAAACTGTCAAACAAATACATCAGAATATGAAACATTAATGTGATAGGTACGTGAGAATGAGAATGAATGTGCTGTGCAGTATTACTAAAATGCAACTTAATAAATGCAGAAAAATAAGCACGAGTCACTTATTATTCCATAAAGGAAAAAACATTGTCTTACATGCATGAGTTTTAAATATAAAGGCAACTCAGATTTATCCATAAAGGGAAAAAGGCATCAGAAGGGAGCTCAAATACCTGTGCAGACGTATAGAGGGCAGTGTATTTTATATTTTCTTACACCATTACTACACATTTGAACTCTTTTAGTGCAAAGTAGTATATGTAGCGCTTAAATACATGAAATTATATGCGTGTTGGTGTGCTTGGTGGATTTCTGTAGGAATCAAGCGTGCACATGTTCATGTGTGATATTGTGGAGAGATTGAATATGTGTAAGTGTGAGTGAGAACATCACCGGGTGTAAACGCGAGTTAGAGTTTATGTGAGGTAGAAATCTCATCAACAGCATGCACAGGAGGACACAGCATGAAGCTGCTACCACACACCACAAGAATTATATTAAAAGAATAATATTGAAGATTAATTACAGTTTAAGCCCTGTATGTTATCTTGCTTATTACATGGACATGAAATTTTAATTTGAGTTGAATTTATGTTATTTAAATTATCTTTTTATTATCTTCTTAATCAGCCTAGCAACAAGACGGGCAACAATATGACAGTTATTTGACCAATTTGTAATAGCTGACCAGTCAGAATCAGAATAAATACTACTGTTTAAGTCATTGTGCAGTTGGGTTTGGTTTTTAAAATAGTTGTAATTTCATTGGCAGCATCAGAGGGCTCATGAAGACCCGGCAGCATTGCAGTTCAGTTTCTATGAGGTGATTTCAGCAGACCAGCTCGCTCCACCTGAGTTACGCTCTCTCCAGAACCGCTGTCTCGTACCTGGACTCTACGCCACACACCTGGAGAGATGGCTCACATACTACCCTCCAAACCAGGTAACCAATCTGGACAAACCCTTACCGATTTTGGTATTTGTACAGTACGTTTTCTGAATTTTCTACTCCCTGTCTGTGTCTCTCTGTCTCCTCCTGCAGCTAATGATTATTGATGGACAGCAGCTGAGGAATGACCCAGCTAAAGTGATGGACGAGCTTCAGAAATTTCTGGGTGTCACTCCCTATTACAACTACTCCCAGGCACTCACGTAAGGGTCACACACACATATGTTTTATATCAAGTGGGGACCTCCCAGATTTGCATAATTGCAGTTATTCTATAATATTTTTAACCTAAAGCCTGAATTTTTTTGCATTGTACATAAGCTAAATAAGTAGACTACTGTTAAAAAGTTTTGGGTCATTAAGTTTTTTTTTTTCTTGTGCCCAGCACAGCTGCATTTATTTCATACAGCAAAAACAGTAAAATTGTGAAATATCTTTACAATATAATATAACTGTTTTCTAGTTAAGTATATTTTAATAAATAATTTATTCATGTGATGGCAAAGCTGTATTTTCAGCATCATTATTTCAGTCTTCAGTGTCACATGATGATTCAGCACATATGTTTTATATCAAGTGGGGACCTCCCAGATTTGCATAATTGCAGTTATTCTATAATATTTTTAACCTAAAGCCTGAATTTTTTTGCATTGTACATAAGCTAAATAAGTAGACTACTGTTAAAAAGTTTTGGGTCATTAAGTTTTTTTTTTCTTGTGCCCAGCACAGCTGCATTTATTTCATACAGCAAAAACAGTAAAATTGTGAAATATCGTTACAATATAATATAACTGTTTTCTAGTTAAGTATATTTTAATAAATAATTTATTCATGTGATGGCAAAGCTGAATTTTCAGCATCATTATTTCAGTCTTCAGTGTCACATGATCATTCAGAAATTATTCTAATATGCCATGGTGCTCAATTAATATTTCTTTTATTATCAGTGTTGAAAACAGTTGTGCTGATTAATATTTTTGAGGAAACTCTGATGCTTTTTCAGGATTCTTTGATGAATAGAAAGTTCAAAAGAACAGCATGTATTTAAAAAAGAAATATTTTGTTATGTTATCAATGTCTTTACTGTCACTTTTGATCTTTTTAATGCAGCCTTGCTGAATAAAACTATTAATTTCTAAAAAACAAAAAAAACTGATTCTAAACTTATGAGCGGTAGTGTGCAAAATTTTAATTACTCAAAACTATTTTAAAATGCACAGGAATTGCAAACACGAAAATGCAAATCTCCAATAATTCAATAATAAAATCACTTTTCCAACACTTTATGGATTTAATCTTAAATGTGTAAAGATGCCATTAGCCTACTGGTGTTCGCATCAACATTTCAGTGAATGATGTTGTTTCACTCATTAGTGATATTTTGCTCGTTTAATTTTTTTGAAAATTTCAATAAATGCATTTGCACTGTTAAGTACAACACATATTTAATAAATTGCAAGCGTTATAACTTTGACAGCCCTACAAATAAAACGTTTCTTTTATGCAGCTGTGTGATGTAGGTCCCGAGAATGTAGTTTTTTAGGTTTTACTATCACAGTGGAAACATTTGGTCTGCACTTGGATGCACAAACAAGAGCATACACATACACAGATGGACCCAGGCTCATCCAGAGATACGATACAGGAGCAAGCCTGTCATCCATGCTGTCCCTGATCCCATGTGTTTGAGAATCAGCTGATAAAATGAGTTGACAGATCCGTGTTCTCAGCAGTTGATGCCTGTTTAATCTGTACAGAGCCTGAATGAGATTAATTGTGATAATCTGGCTGTAGCCATTAGCACATGATTAACTTCATCTGGCCTCTCCAATTAAAACATCTGACAGATCGTTAGGCATCTGACACTTTCTCTGTGTGTTAGATTGCTCTTAAGGTGTCTTGTACATTTGAACAATTTTGAAAACATAATAGGAGAAAGTGAGGAAAGAAGGAATGGTGTGCATGCCATGTCGTTCATTGTTAACCATGCTTCTGAATGGTTGAAAACCCACCTGTCAGAGGATGAGGCCATGCCTTGTCATGATTAATATTTCAAAATTAACACTCAGCATGACTCAGTTCAGTCATGTTTGAACTGTAAGAAAGACCTTGTGACAAGACTCGTGACTCAAATTAATTTCATACATATCAATAGAAAACATCTGTCACAACTCGCATCTTCTAACAACTTTTACCAGAGAAGTTCTTCTGATAAACCATTAGCGAGTGTGGCAAAATGTCAAATTTGGACCATGTATATAAATCATATTGTACTGTAATATATTTAATGCAATTCAATTTAATGAAAATTATATTCACTCATTTCAACTTTGGAAGAGAAAATTATCAAAATTAACATTATAAAGTCCCTAAGTAAACTTTTCCTTTAAAGGGGTCATAGGATGCTACATGCACTTTTACAAGTAGCTTGAACTGAAATGTGTGTTGGCAGTGTGTGTACACAACCACCCAGTGGTGGACAGTAACGGAGTAGTTTTAATTCATTACTGTACTTAAGTACATTTTTCAAGTATCTGTACTTTACTGGAGTCGTTTTATTTTGAGTAACTTTTACTTTTACTTCACTACATTGCAAAGCATAAGATCGTACTTTTTACTTCACTACATTTCATAAAACATATCGTTACTC